CTAATGGGTCCTAGCAGATGTCTACGGGAGGAGAGGAGGTTATGCCTGTAGGAGCACCGAAATTAAGCAACGTCGATCCTGGTCAGTATCTTGATCGGTGACCACTCGTGAATACCAAGTGCTATAAGCTTATACATGCAGGTGGTGTAATGCATAATAGCTCTGAATTGTTAATCAGAGAGCCGGGTAGTTTAGTCCAATATTATCCAAAAAAAATTAAATAGTTTTGTCATCGAGACTTTCATATGCGGGATATGTATGCCGCCAAACTTGTTTAGAAAAATCTAAACTGACATCTATATGCGACCGCTTTCTCAGATCAACCAACATAGAGTTGGCCATGAGAAAATCACGAAATCAAATTTAGACCATTGATATTCAGAGATGATCCTTTGAAATTGTTGATGACTGTGCTAAAGATGAGCCACGATTATGGTTTAAAGAATGATGGTAGGAACACCAGGCATCTCCAGAAAGTTACTTGACTGCTAAACAACTAAATCGGAAAATAGAGGAATCTTATTGTACAGGAATATGCTCCAGCGTGTTTTGGTTTATTCCTTCAACTACGCCATTCTGTGCTCAGACAGCTACTGGTAGTTGTCGGCACAGGTAAAAAGTTAAAATCTAAAATTGTTTGTGTTACACGTTTCACAAACAAGAGAAACCAATCTCGTTTTTAGGCCATTTTTTCTTTCGTTCGGTTTGTCGTAAAAGCTACCCAAAGTTGACTTCTGCTGATTTCGAAATCAGCACTACTGAACCATTCATCTTTTTCTGTCGAGCTTTCTCTTGCCTACCAAATTAGTTCCCTGTACGTAATATTTAGCTGGGATAAAGGTCAGAAAAATTGTGATCTTATCCATTCTTTTTCCCTAAGTGTCATGTCCCTTCAGGACATTGGCAAACTTGAATCTTCCCAATTTCTTGTCCTTTGTAGCAATTAGTAAAATATGTCGTTTTGCTATCTCTATCTTTTACCGAAACTCTGTTCTGTCAACAATTTACACACACTTGTTAGGTAAATTAATTGAATATTACACTTAAGTTTCTTAGAAATTGCATCATTTGTTTAGAAATTGTATCCTGTGCTCTGAAATGACCTCCAATCTCATTCAATAACTGCTGAAGTCGGCCTCTCATAGCCTATGTCACAATTAGATAGCTTGCGTATGTGTCAGCAATTAAGTCAACGAGACTTGCCATTTGAAAGTGACCGTAACACACGCACAAACCTAAATTTCCAATATTAGTTTCATCCCTTTAATGACCTCCATTTGCTTCTAATGACCTCCAAGATTACCCTTACATGGTAAATGTTACAACTAGATAAATAGTGTGTATTCATGCCAAAAATTGCGTCGATAAATGTTATCGTTTGAACGTGATGCATAACACGAAGACACAATCTTTAAACGACAATATTAGAGCCTTCTGTGCTTTTAATGACCACTATATACCTTGAATTACCTCTGGTCTGGCCTATCCTACAGCTAAATATCTCATGGGTATTCGTTCAAATAATGTCGATGAAATTATCACTTTATCGTGATTGTAGAAGGATGCATAGACATAAATCTACAATATTATATTATCTGCTCTTTAATCACCTCTAGTTGCCTCTAATCACTTCTGAGGTAAACCTCACATGACCCATGCCTCAACTAGATATATTGTGTGTATTTCTGCCGCGAATCACGTAAATGACACGTATCGTTTGATCGTAGAACCGACACGCAAGCAGATATCTCTTATAATGGTATTCTGTACTACTTAATGTCCTTTAGTTGCATCAAGTGACTCCAAGTTCGATCTGATATAGACTGTCACAAGTAGATAAACTGTGAGTATTCGAGCCAAACATTGTCCTTTTAAACGTGATCGTAGCCCGTTCACAGAAACATAAATCTTGCAACATTACGATCCCCTAAAACTGTTGATAAGAAAACTAAAATGCTTATTAAAGTATTTAGTAGACGTAGCAAATGTGGGATGCAGATATTACTTTATATTAGTAAACTTAATGTCAAAGTGGAAAAAAGTTTTCGTCCTAAAGTGTTGTTTACGGTGATGTAACTACACAAGCGCAAGATGGAGACGGCACACAGAAATTTTAAACTTTGAATTTAAATTTAATTTCTTAAAAAATGTTTTGGGTATACGACGCGTTTGGTGGAGGAGGGGGGGCGTATTCAACACAAAATCGAAAATTGCTCTCTTCACTTCAAGTTGTTCGTTATATCATATCTAAGTATTTTACAAAAAATTAAAGCCGATTACACAATATTTTAAGCTCAATTTTGGTTTATAGTTCGTAGCAATGCAATGAGATGAGGTAACATAAACCGTACATTTGTCTACGGTATATCATTACATTAACACTATTTACATTATTCGAACTATTGTCCTCATCTTTGTCGCCATATTTAATACAACGTTTCGGCCGTTGTACGCTCCGGCCTTCTTCAGGTGGTTGGAATGTCGAACTGAACCATGAACTATGATATGTGTCCTCAAGGACACATGGCACAGTGGATAAAGGCGTTGGTTAGATCCAGTGACAGGACCCAAAGAGTGTGAGTTCAAAACCCGGTTATGGCAATGGAGAACTTGGAGAGGGGAATTAACAGGAGATAACTGATAACTGACATCCATTAAACATGGCACGTGGAACTAGAACAGTCTACCACAGTGAGTGAAATAAAGGGTTCAGCCGAAACGTTATAATAAATATGGCGACAAAGATGAGGACAATAGTCCGAATAATGTAAATAGTGTACATAAAACCTCATCTCAGAAATATAGACAGATACATTACATTATTGTTTCATAATTATAGTGAAATCATTAAGTTTTTTGCCAAAAGCATTTTATTTTTGGTTGTAGATTAAGATATTCCTATTTACAGGCTTTGTTTTTTTGTTTTTTTCTTTTTTGAATAAGATCATTCTAAATTTCGCTATTGCCCATCAGAATGCCTGGAAGAAAGCGATCGAAAAACAACAATGGAAAAGAGAGGTAACAAAGCATAAACGAAATAACTACAGTTTGCTCAACTTAGGAAACTTAGCATTGCAGCCAACGTATTCTAAAACGGTGCCAATAACGGTGAAAATAAAGGAGAAAAATGAAAAATACCCAACAAGATGTCGAATATAGCATCAAAATTTATATTATTATTATTTATTTATTATTGATATGTTCTGGAAAGGAATATATTTGTTCGAAGTAGCAAAGTGGTTGTTGACTACTGTAACCGGGTAGCACAATCTAGCAGGTAACCGTAATGGACTGGTCCTCGTCGTAGTGGTAGGCAATAGGCGTAGGCAATAGGTGTCCTCCTTGTACCTACACATCAGTGTGTATTTATGGCTGACACTAGCCAATCATATTACTATCAGGGGGAACCCAGGTGTATGCATATTCATTACATCAGTTATGTAACTAAATACATAATTTTCAATAATGTTTCCGTAAAACTTGATATTTCATGTAATAAATATAATTACTGTTATTATTTTACGTAAGCGTTAGGTAGTCCTGCATTTACAAGCGCGTATTGCCACAAAATTATCAAATGTTGGACACGCCTCTCCTCCGCCGAACGCGTCATATAGTTTAACCAATTTCATTTAGTCTCTTTTTTCTTTTTGCCAATGTTTTGATCACTTGTCTTAAATATCTCACATTGTGATAATACATGACCTGTCAAGAAAGGTGTTGTATTCAAACTGTAAAAATAACTGCAAAACACTTACCTCCCCTTTTATAGGCAGAAGCACACAAATACATGCTGGGATTTTTTACAACCAATAAAATACGCTGGTTCTCAGTTTGTCCTGACGCAGTCCTGGTCTGTCTTGTCTTGTCTTGTCTTGAAATCAGAACTCTACGTTCGCTTGTTGGACTTGCTTTTGGGTCTCGACGTCAATTCTTAGTTTGGGAACTTTTTGCCATATTACAGTTTCTTTGCCTTGTTACTGTTAATTTGCCTTGAATATATAGTTTGCTTCTTTTATATTATTTTTTCGCTCTTTTATTTTTCTTCTTATTTTTATTGAAAATTTTGTTTCTTTTGCTTGTTGGACAGTTCTGTTACTTATTTTGCATTTGACCATGACTACTCACTGCAGGTGGGTAGTCATGGTCAAATGCAAAATAAGTGAAATGTTGCAAGAACGTGGACACAAATTTACAGTGGATGATCTCGTAATTAAAACACTTTCGTCTTCGTAAACTGCTTTTTTCTTTTAATTAAAGTAGCTTTTTTAAATCGAAATAATGGTGAGCAATTAATGCAATGAGTGTGTTTTGTAAAACATAACTTTTGTGTTCATATAATCTTTTATTTAAATTTTTCATGACTTCTCTTAAGTATTCCTTGTGACAATTATTACAAATGTGAGAGTAAATTTCTTTATGCTTTAGCTTATCATTATTATTATTATTGTTGTTGTTGCTATTATTATTTCTATTAATTATTATTACTTCTAATTATTAAGTCGTTTATTCTTTTAGAAATATCTTTTATAAAAAAAAGTTTGCCAAGTGCTTGATTTTTATCCAGTTTTAACAGCAGTCTGCTTGCTTAACTCGATGACTTCAGAACGGCGTTTGATTGATTGTTTGATTTGTTTTTTTACGGATTATCTCCCTTTTGCAGGTTATTTAAAGCCGGAACGTATTTTTGGATTGTAATAATTTGGGGGATAAGAAGTCATTCTATTTAATCTATGGGTTAAAAAGTAGGATTTGACGAGAAGAGATGGATTCATGTCGTTCTTAAGTGTTTGTCTATCGTCCGGTTCACGCTTCACCCCAGTCTTTTGAACACGAGTTGAGGTTTATGTCTTTTTTCTTTTTTAGGATTCGGTTTCCGGTTCCTGGTTCCTACTTAAGTATTGTATTTACGCGTCAATGAATATAACGAACCCAACTGGAATTCGAACTCTGCTCTCCAACAACTCTTTCTTATACAATACACCAGCCGCATATCCGAGCCTACAGCACGTGATATTTCCAGGACGTTACTAATCTAGGTACTGACGAAACTCGACGTTGCTTAACTTCTGTGATTGGACGAGAACCGGTGATTCAACGTGATCCGGCCGTAAGCTAGAACGGCGTTTGAAGCCTAAAACTTGACTCGTTTACGTGTTCATCGAATTTATTAGATCTTACACATGTTCAGGAGTGAGAAATTAATATTACGTATTGAGAAGATTAACGGCCTAGACCCAATAGTACAGATTCTTCTTTGTTAGGTGTTTTCATTTCAGTTGAGCCAATTGGATATTCAGCTGACAGTCGGCCTAACACAACAAATGACAAAAGAATATTTACAATGCTTAAATATCATTTGGTTACCTACATTAAGTATGAAAGAATGCTTTTATGTTAATCGATGCATGAATATTTACAAAGCATAGGCAAGTCTGGCATAGGGCCAGTGAGAGAGAATTAACTTATATTTCAGTTATAGAAAGTCTGCAAATCAGCATTTGAAACTTTCAAAGGATCAAAGACCACCAACATTAGTGATAAACACATGTCTATCAGACGTCTCTCTCTCTCTCTATATATATATATATATATATATATATATATATATATATTGTTCAAATGGTCTAATGACAAAATTGTTCAATTGTTAGATAAAGCTCTGAACCGTTGTATCTTAGAAATGATTAAAAATATCTTACTGGAATTCTCCGAGGTTTTTATAATACTATTGGACTCTACTTTGAGCAATAAGAATGTATAATTACTCTGCAAGCTAAACAGAAGTATCCTGGTGAAATCGACCATAAATAAAAATAACAGGTTCATCATTAATTAATCATAGCTAATATATATAATGTAAAATATATGTTTCATATAAACACTAATGACTATGTCCCAATCCTCATAAATACGTTGAACGCTATTGTAAATGAGGATAATATGCTAAGTAGTCTACCGCTAGCAGTGGTTTACCCACTTCACGCCGCTGGCGAGTAATGTATTTTATGTTATAAAGATTTCCATTTCAGTTCCAACCTCCGTTTTGGTTATTCCTCATTCAGTAACCTTTTTAGGTTACAACAATATATTATTATTATTATTATTATTTCCGTATCATTTCCCAACTTATTCGCGGTGATCTTCGCCCTCTCTAACCTTCTAATTTTTTTTTCTTGACGTAACAAGTTGCCTTACACGTTTCACGTACGATTTACTTTACAAGTCTTTTTTTCACTCTCTTTGGACTCATAACTGAAACTCCCCTCTCACATGCCAAACGTCTTATGGACTGAGTTGGATCTTTTCTAGAGGAGTAAAAAAAGAGAAAGGCCATCAGAGCAATTTCAGAATTTACGGAGAAAGGTTCAAATTCGTTATATATAAAAAAATCAGATTACTGGAGCTCTACGACGGAGATCGGACAGAGTTGAGGTGTTGTTTGAGTTTGAAGGGAGAAAAGAAAATAAGATAAAAAAGATAGAAATATAAAGAGGTGAGCCAGGTCGCTGTTTGAGGGGAGGGTCGTTTTTTTTTTGTTTTTTTTTAAATTTTCTTTCACGATGGCGTCGTGGTTTTGTCAGTGCAGGCAGGGGTTTTAGCTGTCCTGCAAGATAAAACGTTTCTGATCATAATTCCTACCATTAGCGAATAAATACGACTGTTTTACACTTTTTTAAAGTGAAATAGTCTTTCATAGGGTATAAAAACTTTCCCAGCGGTAAGTAGAAATTACTTACCTGTAATGTCATCCTTCCTCGTGTTAGACCCAAGAGAGAAAAGACGAGTATTCGGTTTGTTCCTTTTTGTCTTGTAATGGCTGAGACGGAAATGACATTCGTCGTTTCTCATTGGTCCTTTTCTATTCCATATATAAAATAAAACATGACCGAACAGATTTGATAGAACTTGTTTCCGTCCGAGAAATTTCCGTTATATATATATATATATATATATATATATATATATATATATATATATATATATGTATATGTGTGTGTTTTCTGTTTATACGTTATTTTTTACAAATACAAATATTTAAGTAAATTCTCTGTTTATAATAAACAGTGTTAAGAGTATTTCTCGGACATCCAGGCTTGTATATATTGTTAATATCGTTTATTATAAGCAGAACGTTTACTTAAATATTTGTATCTATAAAACGTATAAACAGAAAATATATTAAAATAATTGTCGGTCTGACTTAGTCCATTTCATAATATGTTGTCATTAGTTTACGTTAGATACGCTTCGAACAGATATGATCGTTCGAGAAAAATCATGAGAAATTTGTTGTTTAAAAACAGTAATTTGACTTTTGCTTCCTCTGTAGCGAAATGGTATAGCACGGCAGGCCAAATGACGGTTAATTTTCTTCCTCGATGGCGTCTTGGTTTTATTTCTAATCGACTTCAGATTAATTTAAATTCTCATTTTATACAGTCATATTTAAGGGCTTAAAACATTTGCACGAAGGTTTCTAAAAGAGCCACCCACTAATATTTGTGTAATTTTAAAAATCTATATAACCAGTTGCATACTATATAATGTGTGTGTCCTTATATATATATATACACACACACACACACACACAGTTCTTTTTGATTTTTCGTTTATTTCTATATTTTCGGATTAAATCAGGAATTCCAATTTTAAGTTATAGAATTTTTAATGCATTCAACACGATGCGCCTAAAACATTGACTCCGAACTGGATGTATGTGATCTTCTGAATAATTCTTATTTCATCTTATTTCCACTTATACACTTCATACACACACACACACACACATATATATATATATATATATATATATATATATATATATATATATATATATATAAAAAGTTTATTTCAAAAACTCATCGAAGTCTATGCTTCCATTATATGTTTAATATTATTATAATTATTATTATATGTCATATTATCAGTACTCTTTTCAGCTGCTATACATGTATTGGGATTTGAGAATATTATATTGGTATTATTTTAAAATAGGTTACAAAAGAAAAACCTGACAAATAGTACCATGAAATTTTCAGAAGGGCCCGGATCCTCGAATGATACCATATGTAGAGTACTATATAAAATTCATGAAACTAACTTTGGAGTACATGGCTGTAAACGTTTCAGAAGAGAAAGCTGTTTTATGTCGAACGTTACATAATCCTCTGGAATCTAACTTTGGCGTTAATGTCTGTAAAAATTTCTGAAATTTGGATCCTCAAAATATACCATATGTAGAATATTACATAAATTTGAAAAAAAAAAAACATGCAAGAGATTAAAGAAGTATTTTTGATATAGCTGAATAATTGATTTTTCCTCAAATGTTTAACCTTGAAAAGAAAACAGCCATCCGTATGGGAGATTTCACTCTTGATTATCAAAGACGTTGTTGCTCAAACTTCCGCTGTGCTCATTGTATTGAGTATAATTGCTTTCTTTATTAATTTTGCAATTTGTTCTTTAATTCATGACTGTCGTCAGACATTAATTATCTTAATTAATTAGGATAACAATTAATTTCTTCAAAGTGATTGTCCCGTCGATTATTTTTTAATTGAGGAAACAACAGAGTTCTGGATGTTGTCAATATTACGAGATAGCTTTAGCTTTTTCCTTCTTTTTTTCAAAACTGTAATCATTCAAACAAAAAGTATATTATAACGCCTTTCAATTAAGACGATCAAAAAGTACATTCAGTTGATATATTTAAATCTATCCAAACTACATGATCTTTGTTCACACCCAGAATTCTTGGTAGATGTGAAGCGATGTCACTGGGAATATAATAGTCTAGTCATCCTTACTCAGCTTCTCTAAGTGTAGTGCCAACTCAGGAAATTCAAAGCTTACAGCCATATCACACTACATCCGCGTCCAGGGTAAGACGATAAACTACATTCGCGTCTAGGGTAAGACGATAAATTACGTCCAACAGCAAGGCCCCTGATCAGGAGGTTTTGAGGAACGTAGAGCCACCTCTTAATTGCTGATGTTCCCAGGTCCACCCTGACCTGGGGTGGTAGCACCTGTCAGGATCCAAGCTATGGACAAATAGTTAATCCCGAAACTGATGTAAAAAGCATTATGAAAGTGTAAAAATAAGTTTTAGTACCAGAAATACTTTGTGAAAAATTATTACCAGAAATAGATTTTTGAAGGAAAAAATTATTACCAACAATATAATTTTCGAAAAAAAATAAATATTACCAGCAATATATTTTCGAAAATAAATAAATATTACCAGCAATATATTTTCGAAAATAAATAAATATTACCAGCAATATATTTTCGAAAAAAAAAAAATATTACCAGCAATATATTTTCGAAAAAAAAAAAAATATTACCAGCAATATATTTTCGAAAAAAAAAAAAATATTACCAGCAATATATTTTCGAAAAAAAAAAATATTACCAGCAATATATTTTCGAAAAAAAATATTACCAGCAATATATTTTTGAAAAAAAAACAAATATTACCAGAAATATATTTTTGACAAAAAAAATATAACCAGCAATACATTTTTTTAAATAATATTACCAGTCATACATTTTTGAGGAAAAAATATTACCAGAAATAGATTTTTGACAAAACAAAATATTACCGGGGAAAAAAGTTGTCGGCATTGAATAACCCATTAAAGTTGATATGCCCTAAAACGAAATCAACCAAACCGCTGAAACATCCGTTCTCATACGATCACCGAAGTTAAGCATTGTCGAGCTTAGGTAGTACCTAGATGGGTGACAGCTTATTCTTACAGAATACCAGGTGCTGTAGTCTTGGATATCCGCCTTGTGTAATAGATAACAACTCGGAATTTGAAATCGGAGAGCCGAGTTCGAATTCAAGTTCTTTATATTAACTTACGCGTAAATACCCTTGGGAAAGGAATGAATCCACCTTTTTCCCCCAGCAATGTGTTAATTAATAGGATTGTATCATTATCATCTCCAAAAATACTTACAATCTGGAAATATTTTCAGTCTCTAAATAACCGGTTAAAGTTGATAAGCCATAAAAAGAAAGAATCAGGAAATTCAAACAACCAGGCGTCCTGGGTAAGACGATAAACTGCGTCCAACGGAAAGACCTCTGATCAGGGGGTTTTCAGGAGTATGGAGCCACCTCTTAACTGTTGGTGTTCCCAGGTCCACCCTGACTCGGGGTGGTAGCACCTGTTAGGCTCCCAGCTATTGGCAAATAGTTAACCTCCAAACTAGGATCAAAACACTATGAAAGTGTAAAAATATGTTTTAATACCAGCGATACATTTTTGTAAATATATTACCGGCAATGAATTTTTGAGGAAAAAAATTATTACCAACAATGAATTTTTTGAGGAAAAAAATTATTACCAGCAATGAATTTTTTGAAGAAAAAAATTATTACCAAAAATGAATTTTTGAGGAAAAAAATTATCAACAATGAATTTTTTGGGAAAAAATTATTAGCAGCAATGAATTTTTTGAAGAAAACAAAAATTATTAGCAGCAATGAATTTTTTGAAGAAAACAAAAATTATTACCAGCAATGAATTTTTTGAAGAAAAAAAAATTATTACCAGCAATGAATTTTTTGAAGAAATTATATAACCCATTCATGTTGGTATGCCGTAAAACAAACGAAACGAAACAGCCAGTGGATATTGAACCCACGGCTCTAGCGAATTGATCTGCGAGACGAGCATGTTAAATATTGCACTGTGGTTAGCACCTCTCGTATATATTTTTCTTAGCTGATTGTGTGACGCCAAGTAAGGATGTAACTCACCACAGTATAATGAAACAGATTGGAGTAGATAGCTAAATTAGAGGAATGCTGGGATTTTTTTCAATGCTACGCCCTTTCAGAACTTACACGGTCATGACTCCCTAGAGATTACTTTCTTCATTATATGTGAACTACAATACTATTTTGGGAAAGATAGTGGAGTAGTTTCCTATTGCCTTCTCCACGGTTTTGAATTCAAAATAGTTTTCTCCTAGACTGTCTGCTAACCGAGTCACGAAATCCCATTCTGCCTTGCTATTTAATTCATAACTGACGATTTACAAGTAAAGATGGATTCGTGCTTTTTTCCAAAGGCGTAAATGAGCAAAAGTAAGTGCAGTAGACTGGAATTTGAACTCGTTAATTCCACTTTCAGTATAAATACACACTGCACTACAGGCATGTCTCATAAATAAGATACTTCGAGCCAAATTTATGAAAAGAAAGATAATGGTGCGCCAAGCTTTTGAATGGACGGAGATCGTCTGTCTTGGAAATGAGTAGTTTAAATCCTGTTGAAAATTCTTACATGGAATACGAAGGAAATGGCGGTGACATGAGAAGTCGTAGCCGTGAAAGTTAGAACTGGTGGAACTAGGGAATGTAGTCAGCGTTCGAGTAACGAAAAGCTTGTAACGTTTTTTTTCTGTGGGAAAGGGGCTGTAGGATGGAAAACAGTCCATCACCCACAGGCACGCGGACACGCTTTTGAACTATATCGAGACTGGAAAGTGAAGACTAGGTAGCTGCGGCCCATAGAGCTGTCCTTTATTTTCGACTGATTTTGTTCTCAAGGTAGAGCATAGTAGGAGTCGTCGAGTACTTACTGGAGTTGTTCAGAGAACCGGCCTCTTTTGTGGTCTAGCTTGAGCTTAAGTCCCGATAGGTGTTCAAGGCATGGGGTTTCCTTCCTAGAACACACATTCATCGCGATAGCTGATGGGTCTGCTCAGGGATGATGGAAAGGTAATGAATTGTCTTGATGTTCTTTTCAATTCTGGATGTCTGAAAATTTCGAAATAGAAATCGTGACATTAAATGTATCACGTGTATTTGGAATTCTTTATAAGTGTGTTATCTATTATTAACTAGGCTCTCATCGTTTTATAATAGTCAAATCCTCATGACCCAATTTGGTTTTCGTTCAGATAAGGAATGTAAAGGGGCTATATGCCATCAAACAAATCCAAGAAATAGTAAACTGTATACCTGCCTTGTCAACCTCACAGCAGCATATGACCAAATCAATAGACTTCCTCTTCACATCCATTAGAAACCACCTTCCAAGTTCCGAATCCACTGAATGCATCGATCTAATAGAGGAACTGTATCGATCTACAGAATTCTTACATGTCTGTTGAGGACTCCAATATGGAAGCATTTCAGACCTCATCAGGAGAACGACAAGGATGAAATGAGAGCGCCAGTCGATTTAATTTCTTCCTAGACTATGCACTGTGGGTTTACAATCACAGATGTGATAAGATGGGCAATGACCATATAAGCATTCCATATCACATCCAGAACGAGTCTATGAATAAGACAACAATCCTGCTTTCACTCACAAAGCTAATGTAGTAATCATGATGGGGGAGGGTCTATGCTGATGCCATAGGTGTTTATAGTTGGAAAAGGAATGATATTTAACAGAAAATCAATATCCTCTATCAAGTTTTCCAAGAAATGAGATTCAGGATAAACCTTTCCAAAATACAAACTATGATCTGGAATTGGAATGAAAGCAGTGATGACACCTACCCTGAATTCAATATAAAAATATATTATGTGGAATTAGTAAATACTTCAGATAACTCGGCGTAGGGTCCAGCTATAACCAACTAAGTATAGAAATTGAAAATAGAATAGGCTATGACAGAGATAATATCTCGCAACACCGTAAGTTGCTACGAAACCAAAACAACAACATGAAAACTCGAGTCATGTTCTTAAATAGCCTCGTTAGATCAAGAATTTCATATGTATGCCATGTATATCGCCAAACCCATTCTGAAATATGTAATATATCAGCTGTATACAACCGCTTCCTAAGATCAATGGTGAACAAAGGATTTGAGTGTGTGCAGTCTGAGGGTCTTGGCAAGAAATCACTCTTCTTTGAACGCTGTTTAATGGCACTAGAGAATCACAAAGAACTGCACCAAATAACAGAAAGTACATCACTTGAGGACTAACAGCAGCAGCAACAACAACCAAAATGGATAGCACATGTAACTCGAATGAAAAATAATGATGTAATCAAGATGTTAACATTCCACACCTCTCTAATGTTAAGAAGGAAACTCACATCAATACTGGACAGTGCGATAAAAGATACTGCACTTAAGAAATCTGTTTTCCTGAAAAAGAGTTTAAACGGGAGGATTTATTATTTCGATCGAAAACAGTATTGGCTGCTCAGTCAATATATGGCAAAATGTTACCTTATAGGGAAACGGCTAATATTACCATTACTATTTCAGAATTCTTTATAAGTATATATTAGCTAATTTGAAATTCTTTATAAGTATATGTTATCCATTTTGTAATTCTTTATAAGTATGTTTTATCTAGTTTGGAACTCTTCATAAGTATATGTTATCTAGTTTGGAATTTACTATAAATATGTACCTATTAAAGAATCGTTAAAAAAGCAGTTTTTTTCATCATTTTAGACGATTGAAATGTACAACCCCACATTTAAGTTATTTTTTTGTTTTTTTTTGTTTTTTGCAATTTCAGTTTCAAGCTTAGAAACAATATTTTGCAGCATTTAAGACTTTGATGTGTTGTTAAGTGTGACGGTGAAGTCAAACCATTGATTGCCATTGGGGAACTATCTATGGGTTAAATAAAAGGATCACCTTGACTCTCCGGTCTTGTTTGCCAGCCAACCTAAGAGAATAAAAACTCTGGCTTCGAAACAGTGAAGGAGGCGACAGCAAACAACTCCATCTTTTCCTAGAAGGCTAGCCTTCACAGATCATAAAGGAAAGTGGCCCATGGAGAGCCATGATCATCATTGTCTTGAAGAGACAGTTTTTAAAAACAAAATCTTTTTCTTTTTCCGTATAAAATAACTCGTCTTTCCTACTACAAATCAAACCAAGTCTTTTCAGAAAACTATATTAAACATTTATGTCCAGTCATTCTTCGACCTTGACCATCAAAAAGTGAATGGTTGGCTTAACTAAAACCGGTTTTAAAAAATAAGACCGATCAAAATATTTAGCCTTTGAGTAGAGATCTATGCAAAATGGGATAGCATCGATGGGCTTTTCCACGAAGGAAATCAGTGAACTGAATCAACGGCCACGGTCTGACCGAGGGCGAGCTTTCAAGTTTTTAATTGATTGATTCGTTTTTACCGTTTATCAACCCATTTGCAGGTTATTTAAAACCCAAAAAAATATTTCTAGATTGTAAGATTTGTATTTTGTAGATAAAATGGAAAATTAACCCATAACTGGGGCCCAACGGTATTTGCTCGTAAGTAATTATAACAAACCCGACTGGAATCGTCACCCATCTAGGTTATAGCAAGCGGTCACCCATCTAGGTACTGACTAGATTCGTCGTTGCTTAACTTTGGTGACTGTACGTGAACTGGTGCTTCAACCTGATGTAGCCGTAAGCCAAATTCCAAGCAGATTATAGCAGCCTCTTATTTATTTAAGTTTGCAGCAGAGCAACGGAAGTCAACGAAACAACCTGTTAGCAGCAAGTTTATATATTAAGAGACTGGATTCAAAAAAGAATACTTGTCACTCTTAAACATTTCAAGGAACATAGAAAAACTTAGAAAGATAATTTTGAATATACTTAACTGAAAAGAACACGCAACTGAACCAACTTTCCCTCTATATGATGTCAACTTACCTGCTTCAACTTTAATTCTACTAGTCTGTACCAACGACAGGACAAACAACATTCAATTGGCAACCCCTTTCATTCAATAACTAGGGTTCCTACTACTAAGTTGGTCTTTCAAAACCCGAACTGCTGAACAAA